CATGGGTTAGGGGGCTTGGGGGGACCCCACTCACCCCATATGAAGGACATGAGGGGGGTACCCCTTCCCTTGGGTCTGGGGGCTTATGGGGACCCCTTTCCCCATATACAGGGCAGAGAATAGGGTCCCCCCTCCCCATAGGAGGGGGACTTGTGGGGGTCGGTCCCTCCTCCCCACGTGGAGGGAATGTATCGCTCCCCCCCACTTCCCCATATGCAGGAAACTACTGAGGGTCTTCCATGGGTCAAGGGGCTTGTGGGGTCCCCACTCACCTTGTATGCAGGGCATGGGGGGGGTACCTCTTCCCCATGGGGCTGGGGGCTTATGGGGATTTCCCTCCCCACATGCAGGGCAGAGAATGGGGTCCCCCCTCCCCAGAGGAAGAGGACTTGTGGGTGTTTCCTATCTCCGTGTACATGGTCATGATGGGGGTACCCCTTCCCCATGGGTCTGGGGGCTTATGGGGACCCCTTTCCCCATATACAGGGCAGGGATGAGGGTCCCCCCTCCCCACATGGAGGGAATGTATCTCTCCCCCCATTTTCCCATATGCAGGAAACTACTGGGGGTCTTCCATGGGTCAGGGGGCTTGTGGGGTCCCCACTCACCCCATATGAAGGACATGAGGGGGGTACCTCTTCCCCATTGGGCTGGGGGCTTATGGGGATCCCCCCTCCCCACATGCAGGGCAGAGAATGGGGTCCCCCTTCCCCATAGGAGGGGGACTTGTGGGGGTCCCCCTTCCCCATGTACATGATGATGATGGGGGTACCCCTTCCCATGGTTCTGGGGGCTGATGGGGTCGCCTCTCCTCATATACAGGGCAGGGATGGGGGTCCTCCCTGTATCCCCCTCCCCATACGATGGGGGGCTTGTGGGGTCCCCCTTCCCCACATGCCAGGCACAGTTGGGGGTCCCCCATGTGCCAGGGTGCTCATGGGGTCCCCTATATGGCAGGGGCTTGGGGGGTACACCCACGGGCTCCTCCTTCTCCAAGCCCCATCCTCACACCCCGGGGGGGCTCAGGGGTCTCCCCCTTTTCTGGGGACACCCCCCCCCATCCCCAGCTGTACTCGCCCATTCCTCATTCCCACTGCTGAGCCACAACATCCCTCCTGCCAAGCCCTAAATGCCATTTTGGGGACTTATTTTTATCCTTCCAATCCACACATCAGACGCCGAAATCCCACCAAGCCCCAGCAGAGGCTCTTGGGGACATCTCAGCTCCAGCAGCCACCACCCCCCTAAAAAAACCCCCACCCCCAAAAAAAAAATTAATACCATGTATGTGCAATGCCCGTAGCTGGATTCCCAGCAGCAACCCCGCTCGTTTGACAAGCAGAGTTAAATTTAATTATTTATTCCTTCGTGCCCTGGTATAGGAGTGAGCGCGCAGGAGCATTTTGTGAAGAGGGTTCTCTGAAGCTCGTTAGGTTTTTATTGCCGAGTCAAATAAACAACGGGGATAAAAGCTTGGCATTAATTTTTTCCTCCGCTTTCTGTCACGCTTAATAGTGCTCTTAACGAGCGCCAAGTCCTTTTCTTGCTTTTTTCCCCCCCAGTTTATTCGTCAGTCCGAAAAAGCATCGGGGCACGTGACGCTGCCTCCGACGCCGGTGGCTTTGCTGGAGGGGGGTAATAAAAATATAAAATATTTTGGGGGGTTCAGTGGTGATGGGAGAGCAGAGGGGAGATGCTGGCAAGGAGTTTATCAGGGGGTTACCTCTTGTGGGCTTCTTGATGTTCTCTGAGGGGGGGATTGAGTGTGAGGAGTCACGGGGGGATAAAATGGTTTTCATGTGTCCAGGCAAATTTAGCTCCTAAGACGGGGTGTGAGAGGGCAAGAGAGACAGGGAGCTGCTGGAGAGAGTCCAGCGTAGGGCAACAATGGTGATGATGGGATTGGAGCATCTCCCCGATGAGGAAGATTCAGCCTGGAGAAGAGGAAGCTGAGGGGAGACCTTATTGCTCTGTACAACTACCTGAAAGGAGGGTGTAGAGAGGTGGGGGTCGGTCTCTTTTCTCAAGTCCCAGGCGACAGGACAAGAGGAAATGGCCTCAAGTTGCGCCAAGGTAGGTTCAGGCTGGATATTAGGAAAAATTTTTTCACTGAAAGGGTTATCAGACATTGGGATGGGCTGCCCAGGGAGGTGGTGGAGGCACCATCCCTGGAGGTGTTCAAAAGAGGGGTTGATGTAGTGCTGGGAGGTCTGGTTTAGTGATGATGCTCCTTGTTTGTTGTGTGGGTGTCTATTTTTGTCAGTCAGGTTGACGGTTGGACAAGATGATCTTTAAGGTCCCTTCCAACCTAGAAGATTCTGTGATTCTGTGAAAGGCTGAGAGAGCTGGGGCTCTTCAGAACCATAGAATTAACTAGGTTGGAAGGGACCTTCAAGATCATCAAGTCCAACCATCAGCCCAACTCTTGGGTTGGACTCGAAACCAAACCAAAAAAACCCATCACTAAACCATGTCCCCCAGCACCATGTCAACCCATCTTTTGAACACCTTCACGGATGGTGCCTCAACCCCTTCCCTGGGCAGCCCATTCCAAGGCTTCATAACCCTTTCACTGTCAAAATTGTTCCTAATCTCCAATCTGAACCTCCCCTGGTGCAATTTGAGGCCGTTTCCTCTTGTGCCATGGCCTGTTCCTTGGGAGAAGAGACTGACCCCCCCCCCGGCTACACCCTCCTTTCAGGGAGTTGGAGAGAGCTGAGCTCCACCACTGAGTTTTATGAAGTTTTATAGCACAACTTTGGGATTTTCACTCTCCTGGCGAGTGGATGAGGCTGGTTGTGGCTCTGGTTTTATTGGTGAAACTGCTGGGAGAAGGAAGGGTGAAGGGGTGCATCACCCTCACAGCATTTCATCTCCTCCCAGCTCAGGACTGAATCATCTTTTTCCAACCCTGAACTGGGGGGTGAGTGAAGGGGCACCTGTAGCTGCTATTTTTTTTGGGGGGGGAATAATAACCCAGGGTTTATCTGCTTTTTTTTGCCACGGATTTTGGATGCAACACCCCCACACAGGCACCAGCCCGTTGCCCCAGGGCTTTGCTGGCCCCGGAGCAGAGGGACATCACCAGGAGCTCCCTCCTCCTCCCCCTGAATATCATAATTAAGACCAAAAATTGAAATCAACATAAACAAAAGCTTTGAAATGGCTTTTGAACGTCCCCCCCACTGCCGTTGCCCCAGAAAAAGAGCCTCATCCTTCCCAGTGCAGGAACTGGGGGGAAAAACGTGTCTTTGACTTGGGGCACAGATTTGGGGCAAGAAATGCTGTTTGTGGTGCCCGATGTGTGCTAACGGGGCAGAGCCAGTCCCGTCTGCCCCAAACCCATGTCCACCCCGCAGGTGCTTTTGGCAGGATGCTAATTACTTACAATTGCATTGTAATTACAGCTTTAGAGGATGGAAAACCCCTGGGATTTAGGGCTGGGAAAAGGCCAGGCAGCGAGGGACCCTGCTCTGTGGGGTTTGTCCATCCTCCATGTCACCTCCCCCCTGCCCCCCCCACTACGCGCCCCACTGAGCACAGAAACATTTGTTGGCAGCATCTTAAAAAAATAGACGTTTATTAGACATTGATTTCCCAGAGGTTCTCGTCACACTCAGTAGTGGCAGCAGAAACAGCAGCAAAACTCAATTCAAGTCCAGGTATTACAAAAAAGCCCCCCCCTTGCCCCACACGTGTCTGGCCATGACCTGCTGGGTGAGTCCTGTCCCCACCTCAAATGCCACCACCCCCGGGCTGTCCCCAAGGGGACAATGGGCATCTATGGTGTCCTGCAGCTCCTGCTGGTGTGGCAGAGCTGGCTGGTACTTGGGAATTTGGCATTTCCTTCTTTGATTTTTTTTTTCTAAGGCTTTTAGAGCTAATTTTTGAGCTGAAGTGATGCCAAGGGCTGGAAAAGCCCTTTGTGCCCTTGTCCTCCAGCCTGCAGGGGCATCCCCCTGCCCTCCTCCCGCCAGCGTGGCACGGGCTGGGTGGGGGAAAAAGTAAAAATAAACTTCAAAATTTGATTTTTCATCTCCCAATTCCACGTAGGGAGTGCCCCCAGCCCACCGAACCGCTGCTGAGCTTGGAGGGGACACACACAGAGGTGGCTCAGAGGAGGGGACACGGTGCCAGCCGGGAACCAGAGAGCAACCAGCCCCGTGCCACCCTGCAAAGTCACCCAAAAGCAGCCCAAAAATCACCTGGAGGGACAGTGCCAGCAGCAGAACCAGGCTGAGAGCTGCTAAGCCAGGCAGGAGGCGGCGGTGCAGCCCCCCCCAGCCCCAAAACCACACACGTGAGGGGGGAACCGTGGCTCTTTTGCCACCCTGAGCCGAGCCAGCCCCCGGCCCTGGGCTCCCTGAGCTTCTCCTGGCTCCCAAACCCACCCCAGTGCAAGCGACATCGCGGCCACCCTCCAAAAGCAATTACACCCGTCGCCAACCAGGCCAAACTGCAGAGGCTTTGAAAACTTCCAGTGGGCACCCAAAAGTTTAAATTAAAAAAAAAAAAAATCAAAATCAATGGATTTGGAGGTTTTTTTGCCTTGGCTGTGGTGGAGCTGCAGGTCAGAGGAGGAGGATCTGCTTGGAGGAGATGAAGGGTTTCATGGACGCCTCCAGCGCCACCTTGTAGTCCTGGAGTGGGACCTCGGTGCAGGCCGGGGCGGTGAGCTGTCCCCTCCGGATGAGCTGGCACAGGGTGTCCATCATGCTGGTCACGCTCTCCTGGTCTGCAAGGGAAGGAGGGAGCTCTCACCACCTTGGCCCAGGGGCCCAGGGACACCAGGGTGTGATGTGTTGCCAGCTCGGGCGTGTGGGACAGGGCACGGTGACACGCCGTGGTCCCTGTCTGAGCCACACCACCCAGAGCCTGGGTTTCAGTCACCCTGAGGACTATCAGCACTCGTGACACAAGGAGGAGTGAAGAGGACAGCACCGGCATGGCAGTTGGGCACCCATTCATAGAACCATGGAATTGTCCAGGTTGGAAGGGACCTTTCAGATCATCACGTCCAACCATCAACCCGACACTGCCAAAGCCACCACCGACCCATGTCCCTCAGCACCACGTCTGCCCAGCTTTTGAATACCTCCAGGGATGGTGACTCCACCACTGCCCTGGGCAGCCTCTTCCAAGGCTGGACAACCCTTTTAGGAAGAAATTTCTCCCAATATCCATCCTAAACCTCCCCTGGCACAACTTGAAGCCGTTTCCTCTTGTCCCATCGCCTGTCCCTTGGGAGAAGAGACCAAGCCCCCACTGGTGCTATCCCTCAGCCCCCATCCTGCTCACCCTGAGCATGGTCCTTCTTCCACTGGGTCACCCAGAAGCCGCGGAGCTGCACGTCCCGGAAGATGAAGGCACTCTGTGGGGAGAGGGAGTCACACACCCGGGTGAGACCTGCATGTCCCCACCGTGTGACAGCAGTGGAAGGTGGCAACGAGGCTCCTCGTGCCTTCATTAGCAGTCATTAGTGAGTCAGGGCACAGCGGGATGCAGAGATGTGACGTTGAGGTGTGGAGTAAGGGCAGGTTTGATGCTCAACGTCTGCGGGACACATCCCTGCTGGGATGTCACAGCAGCCCAAATCCTCCACAAATAAAGCCAAGAGCCCCGTGCTGGGACACAAAATGGCTCATCCCATAATGGAGCCAGTTGGTTGAAGAAAAAATATGGCTGGAGGTTCTGAATTTGCAAATTGCAGGCACAAACCCAAGCACTTGCGGTGCCGAGGGGATGGGGACATCATCAGTGGGGCACAGGGGACATGTCCTGAGGGAAATCACGAGCATCTCCAGTACTCACCACAGGCACCGTCACGGGCTGCTTTGCCATCCCCCCATAGGTGACCATGGTCCCTTTAGGCCTGGAAGAGGAAAGGGGAATTTGGTTACTGGTGCCCAACGTGCAGCTTCGACCTCGCAGCCTCTCCCTCTGCCGTCCCCAAACCCACCACCGCACCAACGGGGCTGTTCTCCCACCAAAGCTCCCCCACGTTATCCATCAGATTCCACTCTCCGGGGCTCCCCTCTCTCTCCCATGCACCATTCGCTGAATTTGCAGCTAAATACACCACTTATAGCTGGCCAGGACCTGGTGGACCTTCATAACTGGACCTCAGCCTCCAGCCACCAGCAGCAGTTGAGACACGCGGTGATGATGGTGACTTCAAGTGACTGCTGTTTTCCAAACCCACTTCTTCTCCACTCATCTCCCCTCTCCAAAACCTCAATGATGACCAACATGATGTCTCCGGCCACCTCTTGCGCTCTGGGGGCTCTGGAGCAGGACCCTCTGGTGCTGGCTGCTGTCCCCAAGCCTGTGCCCAAGCCACCACCCAGCCAAACTTACTGCAGGTGCCGCAGCATCTCCGTGGTGCTTTTGCCTCCGACGCAGTTCAGGGCGAGCCGGGGCTTCGGGACGCTCTGCAAGAGTTTAGTCAGAAGATTCCCAAATTTGAGGACTCCTTTGCAGGATGGGACCTCGGTTCTTGAGCAAGCAACTGCCTCAACCACAACATTTACCATGCGGCAGCTGAGTCATGGAGCTAAAAATCTATGATCTGGCCCTTGTGGTAGCAGTAAAAGCCCTCAAACTTCTGGGGATAAATCCTGATCTACAGAGATTGGTCCTTCCCACCATCATTGAACCTTCTGACACAGCGCTGAACCACAAGAGCAGTCCCGGCTGGTATCTCCAGTGGGATCAGCTTTGAGGTACCTTAAATAGATCTTTCATCTCTGGCTTTCTCAGCATCTCCTCCGTGATGACGTGGTCTGCACCCATGGCCATCAGCCTCTCCACCAGCTTTGGGAGATCAGGTCTGGAGGAAGGGAAGAAAAAAAGGACTCCATGAGCCAGAAAGCAGAGCGTCACCTTCTCCTCCCTCCTGCTCAGACACAGCTCGGGGACAAGAGAGCAGAGGCTGGAGGACACCTTGAAGGAACAAATAGGGTGGAGGCTGGACCAGGAGAGAAAATCCTACATAGGATGGGTGAGAGAAAATCCTACATGGGATGGGCAGAACAACTAGATCTTGTCCTCAAACTTGTCCAACCTCCTGCCAGCCCACGCCAAGGGCAGCTCCTGCCCCACAGGAGACCTTCTCCTCTCCCAGGGGACTCACCTGTCCCTCACCACGTTGATGGTCTTGATGCCAAAGGCTTTGGCGATCTGGATGACGGCCTGGCCCACGCCGCTGTTGGCGGCGTTCTGGATGACGGAGTCACCTGGATATAAAGAAATGCAGACTTTCATTGTAGAATTGAGTGGGGGAAACCCACCCGGATTTCTTCTCCCATCCCACCCCTGCCAAAGCCCTACCTGGTGCCAGGCTCTGGAAGTCGGTCAGCATGCGGTACGCCGTGCAGGGGTTGACGCTCAGGGTGGCCGCGCTCAGCACCGGGATGTCACGGGGCACCTTCAGCAGCGTCTCCTCCGGGAACACCCCCCGTGTCCGCCACGTTCCTGGGGCACCAGCGGCAGGAAGGAGGGCAGGGAAAGGAAAGGAAAAGGTGAGGAGGCATCAACTCACACCATCACCTTAACGCTGGTCATGGGAGCATCACTGTCTACATAGAACCATAGAATGGTTGGAGTTGGAAGGGAACTTAAAGATCATCCAGTTCCACCCCCCTGCCCTGGGCAGGGACACCTCCCACCAGCCCAGGTTGCTCCAAGCCCCCTCCAACCTGCCCTTGAACCCCTCCAGGGATGGGGCAGCCACAGCTTCTCGGGGCAACCTGGGCCAGGCTCTCCCCACCCTCACACCAAACAAGTTCTTCCTAATATCTAATCTAAATCTCCCTCTTCCAGTTTAAAACCGTTCCCCCTTGTCCTGTCACTGCACTCCCTGACAAAGAGTCCCTCCCCAGCTCTCCTGGAGCTCCCTTCAGATATTGGGAGGCTGCTCTAAGGTCTCCCCGGAGCCTTCTCTTCTCCAGGCTGAACAACCCCAGCTCTCTCAGCCTGTCCTCACAGCAGAGGTGCTCCATCCCTCTGACCATCTTCGTGGCCCTGCTCTGGACCTGTTCAACAGGTCCATGTCCTTCCTGTGCTGAGGACTCCAAAGCTGGACACAGAGCTCCAGGTGGGGTCTCACCAGAGCAGAGCAGAGGGGCAGAATCCCCTCCCTTGCCCTGCTGGCCACATTTCTCTTGATGCAGCCCAGGATGTGGGTGGTTTCTGGGCTGTCAGCGCGCACTGCCAGCTCCTGTTGAGCTTCTCACCCACCAACACCCCCAAGTCCTTCTCCTCAGGGCTGCTCTCCAGCCATTCTCCACCCAACCTGTGTTTGTGCCTGGGATTGCCACGTCCCAGGTGCAGGACCCTGCACTTGGCTTGGTTGAACTTCATGCACTTTGCATGAACCCACCTCTCCAGCATCCTGGGGGGGTCAATGATGAAACATCTTCCCACGTAGGTATGGCCGAAATATTGCAGGAGGTGGGATGGATCCCCCCGCTGCCCGCTGAGATTTATCACCCAGCAAAGTCTAATCACTTCCCAGAGGGATAACGGGACCGGGCTCCCTGGGAATACTCCCATCCTCAGGCTGAGCCCATAAATTCAAAACCAATTTACTCAGATTTAGTCCTTCTATATTTATATCCAATTTAACCCCCTATCACCCTGGTTTTTTTTATTTTATTTTTTTTTAATGTTTAGAAATATCACATTTGGATCTTAACTAGATAGCTTTCCTCCTCCCATTAAGCAAAAAAAAAAAAGCTTTTTAAGACGAAACGGGCAAAGAACAAGCTGTTACGCTAAACCAGAAGCGACAATTTCTCTGGCCGTTGGCATTTTGGAGAAGCACCAGAGGCATTTGTGGGCAAATAAATTCCCAGGCATTCCCATCCCAGCGCTATTAAGGAGAAAACTGTAACGAGATAGAACCGTGACCTCGCACAGGTTAAATGCTTTACCCTGGGACTTCAACACTTAAAGCTTCTTTAAGGAAATGTGACAAAACGTGGCTGTTTCCAGCCAAGCACCGATTGCTGCGATGCTTTATAACGGCACGGATGCCCCATAAAGGGTCTATGCTATAGAAAAGTAGATTATTTCTAAATTCAAGTTTAGCATAAGCCATGGCATTGCTATTGCTCCTCTTGCAAGTGCTCTGGGTTTTTCCCTGGGGAACCTCCATCCTTCCCCTGAGCCCCCCTGCATCTGCTGAGGAGCAGCAGCATCACTTGCCCTGGCTGGGGATCAGGTACTGAGATCACTTTAAAAAAAAGATACATTAAAAATAAAAATATGTCCTGGCTGGGGATCAGGTACCGAGCTCGCTTTAAAAAAAAAGATACATTAAAAATAAAAATATGTGGCAGAAATAATAAAACTTAAGCCAAAATATAGAATGGTTTGGGTTGGAAGGAAACTTAAAGACCAACTAATCCTACCCCCTGCCCTGGGCAGGGACCCCTCCCACCATACCAGGTTGCTCCAAGCCCCCTCCAACCTGCCCTTGAACCCCTCCAGGGATGGGGCAGCCACAGCTTCTCGGGGCAACCTGGGCCAGGCTCTCACCACCCTCCCACCAAACAAGTTCTTCCCCACAGCTCAGCTCCATCTCCCCTCTTTCAGTGTCAAACCCTTCCCCCTCCTCCTAGGGCTCCCCTCCCTCATCCAGAGTCCCTCCCCAGCTTTCCTGGAGCCCCTTGAGGGACTGGAAGGGGCTCCAAGGTCTCCCTGGAGCCTTCTCTTCTCCAGGCTGAGAGAAAACATAAGTGAAGATGCCTTTGTGCAGCTCCAGAAGTTGTCCCCACGCTTCCTGCCTGGGACAATCCACCTGGTGTATTTATGCTCAGGCTGATAAGGCACTAAACGGGTCTCAACAGCTGCTCCCCTCACCCAACCTTCCCTAATGGAGCCTTTTTTTTCCACCCATTTTAAGTCACATCCCATTAGATGAAGGTGGCTCTACCCACACCCAGCAAAGACAGTGCTTTGGGGAAAAGCAGTTTTCCCCAAGAACCCCCCAAAACCCCCACACCAGCTCCCCAAGCGTTGGTTCGCATGAAAGTATGACCATGGGTTTACTCTCTGCTCCACCACGGGGCTTGGGCAGCTCCTGGGGGGCTCCAGCATCCCCCAAATCCCTTGGGAAGATGCTTTGTGGGTGGGGGGACACAGAGGAGGATGGGGGCTGCTGGGTACACACTCACCGAGGCCGGTGCTCGCCGGGATGACCCAGTCCCCGGGTTTGAGAGTCGCCACGCGCCGCCCGACCTCCAGCACTTCCCCAACGCCTTCGTTCCCTCCCACGGCCGGCAGTGGGGACAGGATGGGGTAGGTCCCTGCCGGGAAGCCAGAGGTGAGCTGTGGAGCCCATCACACCCCAGACCTCCCCATCCTCCCCATCAGGCTGCCCAGGGAAGTGGTTGAGGCACCATCCCTGGAGGTGCTCAAGAGATGGGTTGACATGGTCCTCAGGAATATGGTTTAGTGGTTTGTTTTTTTCTTATTTATTTATTTTGTCAGAGTTAGGTTGATGGTTGGACTAGATGGTCTCTAAGGTCCCTTCCAACCTAGATGATTCTATGATTCTATCCCAGGAGCCACCTCCAAACCCTCCAAGACATCCCTCTGGGAGCATCACTCAAGAGTTAATATGCAAAAAAGATCCTGTTGTCACGTTGTGGAATGGTCTAGGTTGGAAGGGACCTTTCAGATCATGGAGTCCAACCATCAACCCAACACTGCCAAAGCCACCACTGACCGGCTATTAGATACCTCCAGGGATGGTGACTCCACCACTGCCCTGGGCAGCCTCTTCCAAGGCTTGGCAACCCTTTGGGTGAAGAAACTTTCCGTAGTATCCCATCTAAAGGTCACCTTGGATCATATTGATGTCGGCGGGGTTGATGGGGGCTGCCAACATCTTGACATGGACATCGGAGTCCCCCAGCTTGGCCACCTCAAGGTCCTTTAATCTGAAGGGAGAGACAGAGAGGAAAAGAGCATTAACGTAGGCTGGGTGAAGAAACTTTCCATAGTATCCCATCTAAAGGTCACCTTGGATCATATTGATGTCGGCGGGGTTGATGGGGGCTGCCAACATCTTGACATGGACATCGGAGTCCCCCAGCTTGGCCACCTCAAGGTCCTTTAATCTGAAGGGAGAGACAGAGAGGAAAAGAGCATTAACGTAGGCTTGGCCAATGTCTTCTGCGCCTTGGTTTATGCTGGAAAGAGACACCTGTATCACCCAAACAACACATTTTGACTCAAAACAAGCGAGTGTGGCCCCAGCGAGATGCAGGACACGGCCCCACAGCCCCCGAGTATGACCAAGAGCCCCGATTTTGGTGGATTTTGCTCAATACCAGGTGGTTTTTTGGCAGGGTTATGAATTACGAAGCCAAGGCTGTGTCTAACCCCCAGGCAGGAGGCAGCCTCTGCTGAAAAGGTTTAAAAAACCTAATATTGGCCTTCCAGTACCTGAGGGGGCTACAGGAAGGCTGGGGAGAACCTGTTTAGAAAGGCCTGCAGTGACAGGACGAGGGGCAATGGCTTCAAGCTGGAGGGGAACAGATTTAGACTGGAGATGAGGAGAGGGTTCTTCACTGGGAGGGTGGTGGAGCACTGGAACAGGTTGCCCAGGGAGGTGGTTGAGGCCCCTTCCCTGGAGATATTCAAGGAGAGGCTCGACGAGGCCCTGGGCAACCTGGTCTAGTTGGGGGTGTCCCTGCTGACTGCGGGGGGGTGGGACTAGATGGCCTTTGGAGGTCCCTTCCGGCCTGGGCAATTCTATGATTCTATTCTATGAAAAAAAATTCAAAGTAAAATAAAATAAATCAGCGTTACAAGAAGCAGGGATCCAGCTGGAGACACCGCTCTTGGGGGGGGCATGTCTCCGGCCCCCAGCGCTGCCGTCTCCACGCTGGATGTATTTTTCCACCTCGTCAGGCTGTAAATTAAATCATTTTGGGGGTTTTGCCACCCTCTGCACGTCCAACTCATTGAAATCCCTTCAATTTTCTTAAATATGGTTAAATACTGAATCTAAAGCCAACACCACACAGCCCCAACCCCAGGACCTCGGCCACGAACCCACCGCTCAGATTTCCATCCCGTTAAAAAAATTAATAAATATATTAAAAAAATCAGATTTCTATTAGACAGATGGACAGATTTTTGACGGGGGCTGCTAAAAGGCAACCGCCCATCAAAATCCCGTGTCACCCAGAAAAGGAAAGCTCAATAATCTTAAGAAATTCAGCGGGTTGCGTAAAAAAAAGGCATCGTTTCATCAGAAGGGGGGGGTTTTTCCGACTCGTTCCGGCCCCTTTTAGCGTTCCGGGAGCTGGGGATTTTTCTAAAATCTGCAAAAAAGAGAAGTCACCAAGCACGAGACCACCGGCCTTGCACAAGTGCCTGGGCGAGGGTTGAAATCTTAGGGGAGAAGCACCGTTGCACAATTAAATGGTCGGAAGAAAAAGCAATCATCCAGCCCCCCCAAAATCCCCCGGGAATTCGCAGTCTGGATGCCCCCCAATCATCCAGCCCCCCCAAAATCCCCCGGGAATTCGGAGTCTGGATGCCCCCCCCCCCGATAACCTACGGGCACCTCCTGCATTTCTAGGGGTGACCTGAGAGAGTTCGAGCCGGGCAGCAAGTCCTCGAGGTCTCCTCTCTTGAAAAAAAATAAATAAAAAAGGCATAAAAGCCACCAAAATGTGACTTTGCAAGAGTTTGTGGTCGTTTTAGGACAATCCCACCAGCTGCCGTCCCCAAAAAACACTCGTGACACCGGGGTGGTCCCGTAATGGGGGACCTCGGGGAGAAACCCCCCCGATGTGATGCCACCGAGGACAAAGCCCTCCCCGTCACCCCCCCGAAAATTAAGCAAGAAGGGGCTTTTGGGGAAAAACACCTGGTTTTCAGGCAAATTGAAGGAGAGGCTGCAGGAGGGAGGGGGACGAGGAGGCAGCCCCCCC